CAAAATCGGCGGATCTCGGATAGGGGGTCCCGAACTGTGCGTCTAGGCGGATGGTAACAGGAGACGAGGGACACGATGTTTTTACCCAGGTTCGGGCCCTCTTGATGGAGGTAAAACCCTACGTCCTGCTTGATTAATATTGATGATGTGAGTTACAAGAGTAGATCTACCACGAGATCAAGGAGGCTAAACCCTAGAAGCTAGCCTATGGTATGATTGTTGTTCGTCCTATGGACTAAAGCCATCCGGTTTATATAGACACCGGAGAGGGCTAGGGTTACACAGAGTCGGTTACAATGGTAGAAGATCTACATATCCGTATCGCCAAGCTTGCCTTCCACGCCAAGGAAAGTCCCATCCGGACACGGGACGAAGTCTTCAATCTTGTATCTTCATAGTCTTGGAGTCCGGCCGATGATGATAGTTCGACTATCCGGACACCCCCTAGTCCGGGACTCCCTCAGTGGGATAAAGCTGCTGCTATCTTCGCGGAGTGTGTCGATGTTTCGACTTTGATTGGGAAGGTCAAATTTAAGCATTGTCCTCGTAATGCAAATAAAGCGGCTCATGTGCTAGCTAAACATAGTTATTGTAATAAAATCTCTAGATTTTGGACGGATGAGCCCCCGGGTTGTCTGGTTTCAAACCTTGTGGACGATGTAATTCCTTTTTAATCCAATAAAGCTAGCCATGATGGCCTTCCCTAAAAAAACATGTTTTTTTAGACGAGCCTGTAGCTAAACATGCAGACGATACATGAAAATCACGACAATCATCAATTTTCAGATGCATATGGAACATGAGAGATCTCTGTTGGAAATCCACCCTCAGGATCGATCACATAATCAAGCTGCAGCTCAACTGGTCGTATACGCGCAACTCGCCTTGACGTATAAGAACGTAGCTGTAGCACTTGATATCGCACCGGCGCTCACGCAAACACCGGGACCAGAACACACGCACGCGAACGCAGCAATATGAAGATGTCGTGCCTCGAAATAATCTTTATTGCTTTTCTCGTTTTCTTTTCTCTGTGGTTTTCTATACTCAAGGTGTTATAAAACTCACGACCGTACCCACGTATATATACGTGAGTTTCACCGACCAACTAGACCAAACCGTACAAGGACACCTATTGCGAATCAACCTATGGTTGAGATGGTTAGGTGGACAGTGGTATCCCCAACCCACCAGGGTTCAAATCCTGGTGCTCGCATTATTCCTGGATTTATTTCAGAATTTCCGGCGATGCGCTTTCAGTGGGAGGAGACGTTCCCGTCGACGACGAGGCGCCTAATAGGGGTAGGGTGTGCATGTGTGCGTTCATAGGGATGAGTGTATGCTCGTGTATATGAGCCCTTGTGTCTGTACTGATGTTGTTTGGATTACCCAACATTCACCCCCTAATCCAAACATTTGACTTTTTACTCGAAGAGACACGCAGACGACCTTCTGATCATCTTGTCATGCCGATTGCCTCCGGTAACGCGACTTACCGGACAACAAATTCTCTTTTATTCGCTATGATGATCACCACTTCATCACCATCTTTTTCATGCCGACTTGCAAACTGAAATCAACGATTACCTGGTCTACCAGCCACGCTGCCACATCTTAGCATGCTACATGCAGACTAAACGCATAGTCTTATGCAGGAACTCGACTTAACTGGTGCGCGTCCATCTTCACATTGATCTTCATCTTCTCGTCGGTTGCTTCTGCACGGGGAGACACACCTATTCACCCGCCACATCTTCAATCTTTCTCATTGTCGCCGATGCCACATCTTATCAAACGACACCTCCTGTCCAGCGGCAACACAACTTGCCATATACATGCAACTTATCTCCACTGTATATGAACTCGCCGGAACTCACGACCACGAACGGAAACGCAAGACACACATTCCTTTTTCCGCCCGCGCTCGCTTACAATTCTCCTCCGCCAGTGATGCATCTCAACTGCAGCAGAAGACTCGTACACCTGAGCTCTTGGACGCACCTTACAAGAACTCATATGCAGACCTTGATGACGGCTCGCAACATCGCCATCTCCACCTTGCACCCTCCAACGATGATCTCGATGATTTTCTCGGTGTCGCAACTTCGGCACCTTCATAACCATCAACCATCACCAACGCCTTGCCGACGACAACCCTGACGCCCTCCTCCAGGTCGTTCCATCGAACAACGGTCACCCGTCGCCTCGCTTGCGACAGCGTCATCGCCGCCTCCTCGTCGTCACTCCGGCGAACGACAATCAGCCCAATCCTCCACGCCGTTGCACCCCAACGACTAAATCGCCAGCTCCTCCTCGTCGCTACACCGGCGACTGTATTGCCCGCCCCGAGGCACTACTAGGGTCGCCACCCCGAGGCAAGCGCAGCTTCACCTCGACCTTGCTCTAGATACCAATTGTTGAAAATCCACCCTCAGGATCGATCACATAATCAAGCTGCAGCTCAACTGGTCGTATACGCACAACTCGCCTTGACGTATAAGAACTAGCTGTAGCACTTGATATCGCACCGGCGCTCACGCAAACACCGGGACCAGAACACACACACGCGAACGCAGCAACACGAAGATGCCGTGCCTCGAAATAATCTTTATTGCTTTTCTCGTTTTCTTTTCTCTGTGGTTTTCTATACTCAAGGTGTTACAAAACTCACGACCGTACCCACTTATATATATACACGTGAGTTTCACCGACCAACTAGACCAAACCGTACAAGGACACCTATTACTTTCCTAACTACTCTCGGTGCACACACCAGGTACAAATCCAAACCGGACTCTCCTAATCCAACTTTGACTAGGACACGCACAAGTACTGAATCGGAGACAAACTTACGTGACTATTCCTAACACAACTCCAACTACTACTACCCAGCAGCCTAATCGCCGGCCACCTTGATCACGATTAACCTAAACTAACTGATGCTGTTTGGATTACCCAACAATCTCCAAAATAACAAGTAGAACATGGCTGGATAAGATTAAACTTTGTGCTGTAGAGAATGTCAGTAACATTCCTGAGCTTACTCATCTATAAAAAAACTTATCGATACTTGTCGTTGCTTCACTCCTGCAATCTAATATAATGTGTTACAGGAAATTCAAAAAGAAGACAAGTATGGCAGATCTGAAAATGTTATGGGTCAACTCAAGAATTGCCTAATCAAATCAAGTGTCTAATAGTCCACCTGTACTTAGTATGCTGCTAGTACATATATATGGATTCAATTTACGTGCATTGTGGCATATACATTAACTATTGCTCAAATATTTGGCATCATACTGAGCTGTACCATGTTTCGACTAAACCATACTGCGACAGCGACAACAGTTTCGGAGCAGAGCAGAGGAGGGGCGTGTGCTTCAGAGGCGCCGGAAGTAGGTACAGAAGAGAGGGGAGAAAGTTGAGTGGGCCAAGAGAGCGGGCGATGGAAGCTCCACCCGGCATGACCTTCTCCCTTGGGCTCGCCGGCGGCAATGGAAGCTCCACCGGGGACGACCGTTTCAGAGAAGAGGAGGGGCTCTGGTGCTTCACCGGCAACGGAACTAGGTACAAGTGAGAGAACCCTACTCGCGATCTGAATCGCCCTGGCACGCTCAGGTACAGGAGATGAAGACGAGATGCCAAGGAAAGAGACGATGTCTTGGAGGATGACTGTTTGCGCAAATGGGCGATTCTGAGGAGCAATATGTAAAATGTACCAGCAGCCTATATGTTTATGCAATCTGGTCTCTCTATTGTGCATCCGGCGGCTCAGATTGTGCTGGTGCACCCGTAGCATCAGATGGCCCGTTGCACACGATACATCCTCCGCAGACCGCAGCTAACTATACTGCTGAGCAGCTCTGGATTAGAAGGGGGTAGCTTGGTGTTGGAAAGTGTGGCTGAGCAGCTCTGGATTTTTCTTTTTTCCTTTGAGGATAGTCCTGATGGTTGTGTTCTGGGGATGAACTGATGGGTTACTGCTATGCTACTACTCATATAATATTTTATTATCGATATCAAGATATTATAGGTCCTGATATTACTCACATAGTGTGGTTGTGATCTACCATTGCCAAATTATCTGTTGTTTCAGGAGGCCCTCGAGTTGTCGAGTTTTTTCTATGTTAGTGTAAATAGATGGGTTCGGGTTTTGATTGAAAGCCATTTTTCATGGCACTTGTATGGCTTTTATAATAGTAATCGTCTGAACAACCGAGAGTAGTGCGAAACTCATTTTGGACAACATCAAGACGTCGATCGGCTAAAAGCCTAAACTGAGAAGAAATTGGGCTATCAACAAATGTGAAGCAATTAACAATGATGTAAGTTGTGCAACAAGCAGAACAGATGGTTCACTTCCCTAAGAGTACATATAAATAGCATTTAAGTTTCCGCTGGAGAAGTGCATGTTTTGATATTTGAAAGTAACTGGGATTGGCACCATACAGCATCAGTCAGAATTTCATGCCCTAGAAACACACTGCCACAAACTGAAAAAAAGTTATGTGTATTCACTATCGCTTATGTGTGAAGACATAAGAGGCCTGTGAAGAAAAATAAAATTAAAGATTACACAAGATTCACATTCGATGTTCAATTCATCTGATATAATCGAGGTTTGGTTTCAAAGAAGTTCTTGACTTTGCATTAGCAGTCAAGCTCATATCGAAATTGCTTATTCAAAGAATCTGATATAAGCCAGGTCTGATGTTGCAAATCTTGCACACAATAATTCTTCATATGTTCCTATCACATCTTCTATTCTGTAGCTTCCTTCCAAATACATGAGTAACTAACAACAGCTTCAGCAAGAACAAGAGAACCAAGAAGCAGAGCATGGCATGTCATCCAGGGTAAACCTCGTAGCAGAAGTAGTTACAGGTTGTTTGGGAGCAGACCGACAAACGGCCACCCACACTATACAAGACTATTACTAGGTTTCCCTATAATCATCCCCGAGGAAGTTTTTGTCGAGCGAGCGAACTCGCATAGTTTGTTCACTTGCGGTAAAGAATGTCACAATGGCCACGCCGACACAGTAAGGTCAGCATGGGTGTGCCATCAGATGATAGCAAGTCGGCATCGTAGCTTCCCTGCTTCAGCGGTATAGGAGCTGTGCTCGAGGAAAGGTAGCTCCGAGTCAAACGGAGAGGGCCCTTCTCCAAGTCGGACTCATGGAAGAAATCAAGGCGCTTCACTAACACACCTCGATCAGTCGAGCTCTTGTCCACGACTTCGACACGCAACGGTATGCCGAGTGCATACGTTAAAGCCCTCATTTGTGTAGTGGTAGCTTCAGCATCCAGGGATCGCACCGCTTTCCAGCAGAACTGTTATCACAACCACATATGTGGAATAATGGTGAGTATAATCTATCAGTGGTAAACGTAGTATTGGTTATCTTTATATCGTAAATCACAGAAACTTGACTAGTGGCAAACTTTATTTCTGAGTTTAAATGTTTATCCAGAGAGAAAGGTAATTAGTATGCCAAGTCTCAAAGACAAAGAGGGCAAGATAATCCATCTGTAGTATATCGAGAATGATATCCGAGGATAGTACGAGGGAGCAGAAATTCCACCTGGAGGAGATTCAAATTTTTAGGGATAGATTGCTTGTAGAATTCATCTGTACGGATTTCAGTCTCAGTAAGCAACCTAAGGAGAGATATAACTGGCAAAAACAACATGTTATATACAGAACAAATAGAAAAACAACACATGCAAAACAATGATTGATATCCTTACTCCTGCCTGAAAAGGACTCCTGCAGGCTTCTCTGGTACAGCCATTCAGAAGTACAGCTACAAAAGACAAAAGAATTTGTTTGTAAACAAAAATATAACTAACACGAAATGAAGGTATCTTAAACATATCGTCAAGACCTTTCTATGAATATCAAGTTAAAACATATACATACCCTGCTGCAATGACGTTGAGAACCTCATTGAGCTCCTGAAACAAAGTGCAGACACTAGGTTATGTATGCAATTTAAGCTATATCATGAAGAGAATGTCAAAGTGCTACAGGAGTCCATCTCTCTTCCAGAAGTAGTGGCGAAAGAATATCATATAAACCCAGCCAAAGATCATGCTGATTGATACGTAATGCTCAATTATGTTCATAGTGAATTCGGCGTTCGCAGCAAGCACTTATAGCTGTTAGATAGTGGCATAGTGCCCACAATTAAGCGAAAAAATTGAAATCAAAACTACGATCATCAAGAACAACATAAAACATGGCAAACAGAAAATTTTATACAACTGTGAAAGAATGAAACATTCTAATGCCCTACCCATGTAGTGGTCCTGCACTCTGCATCATCTTATCCATTTGTTATTTTCTTTAAGGCATTGTTCAGTCTGTTAATTTTAGGAGATGGTTGAAGGTTAACAGTCTGACGAGGCAGCATGAGTTCAGTTATTTTTCTGAACAATTCAGGCAACAAAAGAGATACATACTATTGTTAGCAAGTATATATGTCACACATAATTATTTTGTACATAAATGGATTAAGGAGATAAGGGGAAAATTGTTTATGCTTTTGTAAACTATAGTACAGTACTTACAGAAACAACACTTGAGAAGTATTCTTCAGGATCTATTGAGAAGTATGCTCTGTTCCACTCAAGACAAGAGAATCTATCTTTAGACATATCCAAACATTCCATAAGACGAGTAACCTCAGCTTGTTTATCTTGCATCTGTCGAAGGATCTCCTGTAGACAAGCTTATTTGTATTACATTTCCATGCAGATCAAGAAAGGAATACCATCATCCTGAGTAAGTAAACTGAAACAGTTACCATGTAGGAGAAGATAAAAGCTCTGTAAAAACAGCTGCCATCTTCGCGAGTTCTTCTGAAGAGCACATAATGCTTACTGAGAATCTATATAAGAAAACGATTTTCAGATATGCACAACAAACTAAATCATGACAATGCTTCTGGCATGAAATTAGTTGAAGGCAGACAAACCTTCATCTTTTCCTGGATGATGGAGTTATCTGGAGAGTCACGAACCAATTCCAAGAGTTGTTCCTACAATGACAAGAATAGGAATCACAAAAGGTAGCATTTTAAGGTATGATGGATGATATGTAACATTCATCTAACTTGAGCACGGATTTGAATAGTAATACATACTGATGAAGCAAAATTGTTTTTATGGTTTTCACACATGGAAAAAAACTGAGGAATTCATGGTAAGAGAACTTTTGTTACAAAAAAGCAGAAATCATAAGGTGCAAAATATTAATTACGTTTCACACTGATCTTCTTTTAACATCTGCTGACATCAGGCTACTTTCCACTGCAATTGCTCAATAGAACATCTAAGATTATATACTGAAATAGTAAACAAACTTCAGAATGATTGAGAATGTAACTCCCAAATATCATGTGATAGTCAATTGGCAAAAAAATGAATATCTTGTGATAGTCTACCGTAATAGGACATTTGGGAGGTCAGGTGGTCTGAAATTCAACCAAGCACGAAAATAGAGAATTTACTGCATTATAGAATGCTTTCACTTCATGGTTGAAGAGCTTAAAAACTCAGAGGTACAGCATTCTCACCAGAGGTCCTAATGCTGTCGGACGAGCATGTGGACACCCGAAACCACCAGTGTTGGCTAGGTCCGTTCTCCCATCTGAGCAGCACAGAGAATAAGTTACAATGAAATGACATCATCTGGTATGTTTCCTCGATCACTCATGAAGAGTATAGAGAGGAAGTTACCAGGAAGTGACCCCCCGAGCTCCCCTTCCGAATCCTGATCATCCTGTTCTTCCTCCCCTGAATTTTCATCATCTCCTAGCTCCCCTTCCTCCAACTCCACCTGGAAAATGGTAGAGCATTCCTTGTAAGAAAGGCACTTTCTTCCATCACAAATGAAGTGAACAGGGAAGCAAGAAAAATACTTTGCAAGCATCCTTCTTAGGCTACGCACAGAAGTTCAGAACACAATTTTGGGTCAAAATAGAAAATCCCAGCAACTGGTCTATTCTCCACACGAACCGCAAGAACTTGCAGTCCGCGAGTATCAAACCAATCCATTGGAAGAACCTACGACCGCGG